TCACGTGACCCCCTTGTTTATCACGGTTGTGCTGGGACGTTTGGAGGGGGTGTGAGGGAGAAAGGTGGTCACACGTTTTAGGCAAGAAGGGGGCTTTAACAGCCGACCATGTCGGTGAAGCTCGTCATTGCTCGTGGGCTGGAGCTGGGCCGGTCGGTGTTTCAGCAGGGTCTCCTGAAACCGGCTGCCCGGGTCGCTGCGAGGTTCAGAAGCGGCGGTGTCCGTCTGGGCCCGCCGGTCCGTACCGTCCAGCCTCAGACTTTCCTGCCTGCTCGTTACCGCTATTTCCGAGTGTCGCTGAGCGGCCTTGCTGCCCAGCTGCAGCGCCGGAGACTCGGCCGGCTTCCAGGAGGCGCCGGCTCCCCCAGGACCAGAGCGGTTTTTCTGGCTTTCGGGCTGGGCCTCGGGCTCATCGAGCAGCAGCTGGAGGAGGACAGAAGGGACACGGCGACATGCCGAGAAATTCAGGTACAGCCCGGGTTGGAGAAACAAGTTTATATGGGCTGTGTAAGATGACAAAAGCTTGTGCAAAGCTAAGTTTAAGCTGCACCGCGTTAAGTACTAAGCATTATTGTCAAATAGGGGCGGCCAAGAACCTCCAGGAAGCTTTTAAGACACGAGATTTTAAAGCTGCCCTTTAAACCGAAACCCACATTTAAGCTGGACCATCGTTGCTTTGCTTGGTCTGCTGTTTAATCTTCACGTCGCTGATCGGTTGACAGGTGACAGGTGCCGCAGGTGTCAAGTTGCACTACACTGGTTTGACTGGGAGGGCCACTCGATATTTACTCAGTAGACGCATTTGTGCAAATTAGCCTGTATCCAGAAGAACTAAAATCTGGAAAGAACTAACAGCGAGAAAAAATATTGTGAGGAGTGGTACTAAAAGGCTGCAGGAACAGCTACAAGTGCTAGTGAGGACCTAGGTGATACAGGTATCTCACCCAGACCCTGGCTTTAAAGAGGCCAGCATGTTGGCTTAACAGCATGGTGTGTGGTTTGTTACATGCTCCCACCATTCTTTAGGTACAGAAGTGCCTCCTGTTCTCAGTTTTAATTGGGTTCTCCAGTTTGGATTTCATTGTCTGTAAATCACTTGTTTTGTGCTGAATAATAATAAAAAATAATTCCTTACACTTGTATAGTGTTTTTTCTGGACACTCCACTCAAAGCGCTTTACAGGTAATGGGGACTCCCCTACACCACCAGCACCACCACCAGTGTGGTGGATGATGTGACAGCAGCCAGGGTGTGCCACTACACCCCCCCACACACACCAGCTCTCAGAGTGATGAAGCCAGTTCAGAGATGGGGATTATTAGGAGGTCATGATTGGTAAAGGCCCTGGGATTTTTAATAACCTCAGAGAGTCAGGACCTCGGTTTAACGTCTCATCCGAAGGACGGCGCCTTTTTACAGTATAGTGTCCCCGTCACTATACCGGGGTAATAGAATCCACACAAACTGCAGGTTGAGCTCCCCCTGCTGGCCCCACTAACACGTCTTCCAGCAGCAACTGTAGTTTTTCCCGGGAGGTCTCCCATCCAGGTACTGGCCAGGCTCACACCTGCTAAGCTTCAGTGGGTTTGCCAGGTGTGAGTTGCAGGGTGAAATGGCTGCTGGCATGAATCTGCGGCTCGGGTTCCACCGAGATTGGAACTTGTATCACTGGATTCAGAGTCCAGAGTGCTTATCATTCCACCACAGAACTGTTGACTACATAATGTGCTACTGTACGTAGAGCGGCTCTTCATGTAGTGAGCAAGCATATATATACCTTATAGTTGGCAGGATGAGTGTATGCCATTCCAATGTACAGTATAGCAATATATAGCAATGGTATATTTTAATTTCTTTAATTCTTAATGCAAACTTTAATATCTGGTTCAGTGCTATGTGCTGTAAGTTCTGGTTATATAGTCACCTATTTTTGTTGAAATTTTACAAGCTTCAGTAGATGTTCCCTATAGAATTTAGTTAAGAATTTCAGAGGTGTTAGTCAAGATGACAATTTCCCCAGCACAAGTCCGTCTTGAGTGTGAAAACCTAATGTAGTGGTGATTTTTGTACATTGTCTTTTATATGTGCAGTGAACAGATTCTGTGTATTTGAAAAGAAATGGCAGTTAAGGTTTATTAATAGTGAACAATGTATTTTTTTTTTAAATTCCCAAGGCCTTGTTTGCCCAGAAGAAGATGGCACTGCAAAGCCCACTCAAGTCCTTCTCCTCGGGCTACAGGCTGGAAGACTACGTGTTTGGGAGGCAGGTTGGGAAGGGCTGCAATGCTGCTGTGTATGAGGCTACAACTCCTTTCGCTGTTCCGAGACGGGCTGGGCAGTGCTCCCTGGTGGTGCCGGATCCATCCGGAGAAGTGAGGCAGGAAGACTCGCTGTCTCTCCAGTGCCGTGCCACAGCTGAGTACCCCCTGGCAGTGAAGATGATGTGGAATATCGGGGTAGGTGGAATAAAAACATAGCTATATAGACATCATGTCATGCCCTCTGCAGCCAGAGGGCGCTCCTACTTTGTCCTGTCTGTTGTTTCCGGTGCTTTGCTGTCTCTCTCTCTCTCTGGGGCTATATATTTCTGGGTCTTTCATTTACCTTTGCTCAGCATTGACATTTGGATGTCCTCAGACCCGCCTAGCACCAGGTCGCCCCACGCTGCTACCTGAGGGCATAGGTCTCTCTACGGCATTTCCTGAACAGCTGAGCTGAACAGCTGAGGTGGGGCTAACCCCTATCTCGCCGCTATGCACAGGGTCTATTTCGCTCTCCTGTCATTCCACAGTTTGTCCTTTCCGACATCCGTGACACATCAGGTTGTGTATCAAGTTGTGCAGAAACCGGTAAAAGCCGTGAAAATGAAGTTGCACATTTTGAATGTGCCTACTGAGAGTCCCACCTGTGGTGTAAACATTTGCTTTGGTAAACAACAAATAGCAAGTTTCTAAGTAACGTAGTCCTATACACCTCCACGTGTTTGTCATGTTTGAATCTTTGCTTCTCGTCGTTCACATTTTGGGGCAGCACTGTGGCGCAGTGGTCAGCATTGCTGCCTCGTGGCGCAGGGGCTCTGGGTTCGGTTCCGAATCTGGGGCTTCTGTCTGTGTGGAGTTTTTTATGTTTTCCCCATGTTGGCATGGGTTTTCAAGGGGTTCTCTGGTTTCCACCCACAGTCAAAAGACATGCTGACAGGTTAATTGGCTTCTGGAAAAATTAGTCCTGGTGTGTGTGTTTCTGTCTGTGTGCCCTGCCTTGCGCCTGTTGCTTACTGGGATAGGCTCCAACTTGCCCACCACCCCTTTCTGGATAAAGTGGTTAGAAGATGAGGGGATGTTCACGTTTTGACAATTTTCAAACATAGCAATTGAATCAATCTGGCATATAGTAGACAATGAGACTAATCTCTGATCTCATAAAGAAAACCTTTCCTCCGAACCCTGGTCTAATTGGGATAACTGGCATTTCTCCAGTCCAGCCACTTCCAGTGGCAGACTGCACATATAAGGAAAGACCAAAACTGCTTTAGTGAACTGAATGTAACTGGATGTCTTAAATATATTTACACTGGGCACATACCTAACATGCATTTAAACAAACTCATCACAACTGTTTAAAATGAGAAAAAAATCAATTGTAAGCACTGTTTTAACAACATTGTGATCTGTAATGCTGTATATTGATTTTTATTTCCCTGGTTGTATTTTCAGATCTATTTTCCAGTCTGTTTTTAGAGTAGAAGTTTATTGTTAAACACATTAAATATTATTCAGCCAAAACGTGTTTTGTGATTAAATACATTAGTAGTGAATCTGAATTTATTTGGTTGCACCAGCAGTGTGTAAGTTCATTCCTTTGTTAACCAGTGAAGCCTCAGTGCAATATATTGGGCTTCATTTAGGTACAGCTCTGGTTTTATTCAAAAGTTAATAAACAACCTGAAAATTAACACTGGGACTGTTTCTCTTGTCCAGTACAGTATATAGTAGTGGCAGCTTGTAGTCCTCCTATCTACAAAAGCATTTTAGTGCACACATTTATAAATGATAACCATAACAAATTATGTCAGTTACTATTGTGAAGTGAGGTTGAACTAAGCTAAGCAAGAACGGGCACACAAAGGGTGAAACACTGCAAGAAGAATGAAGAAATGAACATCAGAACAATAAAGAAATATAAAAACTACACGAAAGTGGTCTGCAAACAGTTCAAGCTTGTATTGAAAAAAGATCAGCACTCCAACATTATACAAAATCCACTTTAGAGACATGCTATAAATTATATGTTGCTTTGCCAAGTTCTATCTGGAACATACATTGATTTAAAACAGGGGTTTCCAAACCAGATCCTGGACAGCCACAGTGTCGTCTGGTCTTCATTCCTTCATCTGGTCTGACTTCATTGACCTCAGGTTACCATGCTTTCTACAGCTCTGCTCATCAGTAGCTACATAAGATCCTGTGGAACTATGACCCTACATGACCTAGGTTGCAGACTCCATATTTAAGGATGTAAAAGGGCAGGTTTATATAGTACAGAAATGCTTGTTGAAGTGATATGTGCTGTCTGTTGCAGGCAGGGTCTTCCAGTGAATCCATCCTTAACTCCATGTGTCAGGAGCTGGTTCCTGCTAGCCCTCTGGCTATGAGAGGAGAGAAGGCAGCTGTTGTTTTGAATGGGTGAGCTGGAGGCTATGACTTTGTCTGTAATTCCATAGTTTCTGTAATTCTAAGAGATGTCTGCAATTTCAAAAGAAGACAAAAATGGTGCCTAACATTCATTCAAATATACTGTTTCATGTAATTCATACACATACAATTGTTTCATATAATTATTCAACTAACAACCAAGATTAGAAGTTGGAGAACAATCGCCATCAATGGAAAAATAAAGCTTGATTAACGTGATGAATGTAAGTAAGCTCCAGTTCAACATCCCCAGATTTGTTTAGTTAGATGAATGAATTAATAAGTGAAACTAAAACAGAAAACCCTAGGACTGTTCAAAATTTCAAAGCAAAGAGAAATAGGCAACATTGTCATTTTCCAGAGGTGGTTCTCTAGAGGGGAAAACCGTGCTGTATTTCTGTGCTTTCCTTTGTATTTTGACCCCATTTCTGTTCAATCATTATTGTTCCAAACCATGCACAGGCGGTTCGGCTCTGTGACAAAGAGGATGGCGCCTCACCCCAATGTGATCCGGGTTTACCGAGCCTTCACAGCAGAGGTGCCCCTGCTGCCTGGCGCCCAAGAGGAGTACCCCGCTGTGCTGCCCACCAGGCTGAACCCAGCTGGAATGGGGCACAATCGGACCCTGTTCCTAGTGATGAAGAAGTGAGGGAATGTTTTGACTTTAAATCCGATGCAGTGCATTAAAATACTTATATTAGGAGCTACATTTAAGGCTCCTTTGTGCATTTTTATGCTGAAATAGATCATCAACAATATTTTGCTTTGTGTCTGTTCAGTTACCCTTGCACTTTGCGCCAGTTCTTGGAGGTGTCAGTCCCTGGGAATAGAGAAGGATCACTCATGATTCTTCAGCTGCTTGAAGGAGTGGATCATCTGAACAGACAAGGCATTGCCCATCGCGACCTCAAAACTGACAACATCCTCCTGGAGTTCGATTCAGGTTAGAAATAGTTTGGATACAATGGTGGAACAACCCCTCATTTAAAGTTCCCTGGTTAGCTGGCAGAATCATTTTGTTATCCAAACAGTGATTTTATGTTTTTTTAATTATCAGTGGTGGAAATAAGATTCAAAAGTCACTGCTAGTTCTATATTTGAATGTGATGAGCTGACGACCCTAAAAAATGTGTAGCTCATTTGATCAATATATTAAAATAATTGTGAAGAAATGTTCTGCAGCCAGTGTGAACTTGAATGTAATAGCAGTCTTGAATGCTTCCAACTGCTATTTAATAGTAGTTCTACCTTCACCCTAGAATAGGTTGTTAAAGTTTTAAGGTTTACCTGTATTCTATACTAGACTGTCAGTTTTTTATTTAAACGATCATTAATTTTTAAGTACACAGACCTGTATACATCTGCCATAATGGTGAATTTTATGGGTTTTAGAATTCATTTCTGTAGGCAAAGATACCAAAATGTAAATGCTTCCTGATCCCGATTTGTATTAATTGTTATTTTAATTCTGTTTTATTTGGTGCTTTTTTTAGGTGGCTGTCCCTGCCTGGTGATTGCAGACTTTGGGTGCTGCCTGGCAGATGAGACCTGTGGCTTACAGCTGCCTTTTAATAGCCTGTGTGTGGACAGAGGGGGAAATTCCAGCCTCATGGCACCAGAAGTAAGCTTCTGAACAAAGTGTATTGAGGAGCAGATACCTTTTTCCCCTGTCCTATTGTGTTGTTTCTCACTTGTATCAGGAGGCCTGCTTAAAATTTTCCTTGCTAGCTGTCAGGTGATGTAGCTGGATTAGTTGGATTAAATAATGAGAGTGTGCTGTAAATAAATGCAGGTCTTCTGATTTTTTTCATATATTTCATGTCATTGCATTAGTAATATAAAGTGGCATCTTCTTTTTCTAGAAGTTTTAAAATTCTGTTAATCTAGAAATGATTATTTTTTTTATATTGTTAAGTGCAATGAAAAAATGAAATGTCTTTATGTATGCCTTCTAGCCCACAGTTGACAAAAATATTAGCGCTCCCATAACAAGATGTGAAACATTAGTGACAATCATTTATACAATAGCCAGTAAAACTCTATTCCTGGTTTGAGCTGGCAGTAAATTTCACAGTTTCTTTGCTACAAAACAGAAGAAAAATATTTGAAGAATATAGAAGAAATAGAAGAATATTATCTCAAACTGAAACAGAGGACAAATTCATATTTCTTATGTTTAAAAATTATTTTACAAACATATTTGAGCTTAAATGAGCATAAGAAAGAAAACATTTCAGAACAAAGAAGTGAAAGTTTTTTTCTTCATTTCTTTTTGAATTACCACTACCCAGTTTGAAACATAAGATGGTTATTTTGTGAGTAGATATATAGAGTGTGACCTACAGATTATCATTGTGCTTTATATGAAATGAGCTGGGTCTTATTCTGAACTCTTACTGATGTGAAATGTCAAAGTTCTCCTTCTCTTGGAATGTTTAGGTTGCAACAGCTGTTCCTGGCCCTGGTGTGGTCATTGACTACAGCAAGGCGGACGCGTGGGCTGTAGGTGCCATCGCCTATGAGATCTGTGGGCAGCGTAATCCATTCTACATGCCTGGAGCAGAGGGGCTGGAGAGCAGGACCTACCAGGAGCAGCAGCTGCCTCCCCTGCCCAGCAGTATTCCTGCTGAGGTGCATCTGGTGGTGGGGTTGCTGCTGCGCAGGAACCCCAGAAAGGTGGGTGGCCCCAGTCCTTCAATCTCTGATCCATCAGGAAGCACCATGTTACTGGGATTTCACATTGAAGTTCGTCGATCATAATTTAAGATTGAAATTCTCATCGATACAAAAATAAGCACACAAGAAGTAGCAGTAAGGCAGTAATAAAATACAGATAATTTTATTACTACCTTACTGCTACTTCTTGTGCACTTATTTTTTTATTTAAGGTAGAATCCTTAAAGTTAAAGCCAACTCAAACTGACTTTTAATTCAGAAAAATGTATGACAACCAAATAATTAAGCAATCGGGTTGTCCCGATGTGGTCACGGCATGAGTGTCAAGCTCATAATTTTCAGAGGATTAAAAGTAGGAGTCCATTTAAAAAGTCAATATTAGTTATTTTACTTTTCTACTTAAGACCACATTAGAAGGATTTGTGAATCCGACATTAAAATTAACCCGGTGCCAAAATAATCTCTCCTAAGGAGACATCTAGTGACACCACGAAAATACCTTCTCACTTGGGATCAGTACTGTACTGCTCAGTAAGTGGTCAAGCTGTGTCGACAAAAAGAGAATCAAGTTTTGGGATTCAATGATTCCTCCAGTCCTCAGATTCAAAAATAGAAAGAGAGCAATACTCTGTACACATAAAAACTTGCAGGAATATTTGAAAATATGTTGTTTTTTTTTGCTCTGGTGCAAGCTTGGACACTTACAACTAGATTCTTCAATAGCTTCTATCCTCAAGCAGTGCGATTGGCGAACACATTTAGCCATGCCCCTCGGACCACACCTACACCATCTACCTCATTATGATTTCTTATTTATTGCACATCTCCAGTCATTGTTTACACCTCTGTATTGTTTACATTGTCTGCTGTTTGTATATTGTCTTGATGCACTGTCTGCACTTTGTGTTTTTACACTTATTTTAACAATTGAGAGACTTTCTGTAAGTAAGAATTCCATTGTACCAGTACATGTACTGGTTACATATGGCAATAAAGTTCAAGTTCAAGCTTTCCTTGATTTTCTCTTCCACTGAAACTCCAGAGCTGTGCTTAAGTAACAGCTGTTTCCTCTCCCCTTCAGCGCCCGAGCGCTCGTGTGGCAGCCAACCTGCTGCACCTCTGCCAGTGGGGTGGGAGACGGCTGCATCTGAACAGGGTCTGCAAGAAGGAGATGGCCGACTGGCTTCTCTGTCAGTCGGCTGTCGCGCTCCTGAAGGGTCAATACTGCGGTGGGGACAGAGTTGAAGTAGGATTACAGAGGTGCTTCCTGGCCAACATTGACCTGGAGGAGCTAAGAATGGCACTGGGGTTCCTGCTCGCTTTAATTGAAGACTCCAAATCCCGTATCCTCTCAGATTAATTATATTTATATTTTTAATCAATAGTGCTATAGCTGTTGCTTTGATTTTTGTGATCAGTACAAACATTATTAAGAGTTTATTTAGAGTTTCTATCCTTGTGCCACATTGGCAGGATGACGAGAACGTAAAGCACTATCAACATCTATGTGCCAGTGGGGCAGATTTTAAAAAGCTATTTAGTTACTAATGGCTTGCTGATGACTTGATCTGCTGTGACTTTAATTTAAAAGACTGAACTATCAAAAATAGTTTTGGTGTTCTGTAGTATAGAGTGGTGTAACAAAAACCTACTAGTTTTTTACTAGATTGAGACTGTGGTGATGATGATCAAGTGAAACACATAACAATAATGTTTCCACTAGCACAATTAGGTATATTGTAAAATTAATATGAATGAAAATGAATTAAGAACACCTTTATGAAAGGTTCTTACATTAAATACACCTTGTTTTCTTTTTGTTGTGGAAAATACAAAGCTATTGTGTTCAATGTACTCTCTTTACCTGCCCTACTATCTGATACAATCTAGGTTGTTGAATTATTGCACTAAACTTTGACAAAACATCTAGATAAAAAATCTTGGAATCCTTAACACTGCTTTTTAGTACGATGAAAATAAAATCAGTTGCACTAAAAAAAAAACAATTAGTCATTTGATATTTGCTTAGCAAGTTTTCTTATTCTGGGCGACTTATGCTTTAATTCTCCCCAAATTCTGTTGGAAACCCAAATGGCTCCACACAGTATAAGCTGTTGAGCAAATTGTCTTGATCAACTGGAAAGGCAATTTATGTAATATTACTGTAGCATCACAATCATTGAGTTAGGCCTACACATTGTTTTCCAGCTGAGGATTTGAAATAGGCTTGCCATATTATGCACCTTTTATTATCAATTTAAGATTATAAGTAGATGACCTTAAAACAATAAGTGGATCAGACTGCTTCCATTCAGCCCATCCCTTTGGTAATCAGTAGCTAATTGATCCCAGGATTTCATCCTGCTGGTTTCCTGAAAGAGGCCAGCATATCAAGTTCAGTAACATGGTTGGGGTAACTTGCTCCATGCTCTTACAGCCTTTTGTTAAAAGAAGTTTATCTCCTATTCTTGGTTTTAAATATACTTCACACAATTTCTGCTTGGTTCATATTTCACTGCTCATTTTAAAGATATCAGTTGGGTTGACTTTATCGGCGTCTTCAAGAAATTCGAATATTTGTATCTGATCTCCCTGATGTCCTCTCTGTTTAAGACTAAAAAGGTTTAATTCCTAATTCCTTTAATTTTGTCAGATTTTGTATCAATTTCTGGCTTCAAATATTAATTGAAAGTGATTTGTTTCCTCAGCTTTTGATTGTTTAAAGAATAATATTTTGACATGGGGCAAAATACAATGCAGTTTTGCATCTTTATTCAATTGTGGTAGATCAGGATATAAATTTAAGAAGTTGCTGTTTATTTGTGTAGGCCCTAATACAGTTGCATATGCCTTCCCCAATGTGTAAGTTACTTTTAAGGACTCATGTTCAATGTGCAAGGTGGAATGTGGCACGTTTCAAGAATATGATGTTTTTGCTTTGTGGTCAGAAAGTTTTCCAATGAACTAAACTACAGACCACACTGGGATGCATGTAAGAAGCTGAGACTGTTGGGGGAAACAGTTGTGGTGACAATTCTTAGCAATTACAAGTGGGAGGAGTTTTGTAGAATCATACTTTTTGTGTTTCAGATAAGCTTATATTAAAGATGATCTGTCATATTGTGAATGTGCACTTTACATGATAGGAATACCTGCTCAAAATATCAAAGCTGTATTACAGTAGTCAATACAAAGTGGAAGATCTGTATACCTACAATCTGTTAAATTATCATTTTCCTATTACTAGAGCAAGAGGACTAAGAAAACAATCATAGGTTATTTTTATTGTTGAGAGGAGATCTTTGTTTCTTTTATAGGAAATAAAATGTTATTGTATTCAAAATAGTATGTCTTTTTAAGTTTATAATGTGGGTTAATAATGGGGGTTTCTATTCTTCTTATGACATTTCACACTGTATTGTAACAGAAGAGGCATTCACACTTTAATAGACAATGACAGAAACGCACGTCTACGATAACATTTTGACTGTAAAGGAATACTACATATAAATATATTAGTGTGATTTTTATTTTTTTTAAATTGTATAGAGATGTGTGCTCACTTGAATAAATATACCCAATTTTCCTGTGTGGAAATATTTTAAGCCTAATTATATAACACTGACCTCAGTTGAGCAATTTAACATTTTGACAGCTGTGAATTTATGGAATTATAATTAGAAAAGTTATACACAATAGGAGCCCATAATGTCAGCCTAACTTTATATGGTTCCTAGCAGCTTCTTGATACAAAGGTCTAACTCCACTGATAGTTACAGAATCATTTTTTTTTAATTTCCTTTGGTGTGGTCTGTGAGATAAGACTATTTTACTATTCTACAATCGTTTGTAACGTTAGATCGTTTACATTTTCTACAAACGCATCTAGAAATAATTGTATATAAGAAGGTCTGTTTGTTGTAGACTTTTCTACGAAAATAAGTGGTGTTCACATGTATGTTTAAAACGTTCCAGGTTGCGTTAGTAATTAACGATACAACAGAAGGGAAGATTAAGATACTACAGTGCAAAACAAGAACCTCTGCTGTGTACATCGAGAAATACATTTCCCATAAGTCTATGGGTAAGACTTCACTGGCCAAAGGGAGCCCTTATAGTATAAGTTCTACTCATTTTCAATTGTGCAGCAGCACGATTTTGAGGGGTCCACAACTTTCAGACCCGCACCTGCAAGCTTGCAAAATGTTCTCGTTTGTTAAACTTCTAAACCGTGCGAGCGCCAGGAAGAATTTCGGAACATTACTTTCCACACGCAGCAGTTGTGCTTTGGGAACCCGTGACTTCTCTGCTGGTTTGACAGCCAGCAGACATGTAGCCCCGGGCTGTGACGAAGCGCCCCTTCCTCGGAGCGCTGTCCAGGTGCCGTCCAGAAGGCTGTCCGGGAGTCGCTACAATGTTCCTCCGAGCGCGGAATTCGTTGCCAGACCGTCCGGCATTGCCACCATGTGTAAATTACCTTTCCAGCAGTCCGCAGAAGGGCTGGATGCCGCTTTCATTGGCGTCCCTATCGATACGGGCACCTCGAATCGTCCCGGAGCCAGGTGAGGACGGTCGGAGCGGACACACGCGTCAAAACTCCGGTGTCGTCTCTACTCTGGGATAGGGCACAGGAGGACAACGGAGCGTGTCAACCATTAGCCAAAATTAGGAGAGTTATAACTTTGTATCAGTTAACGCTTAGTATAATAATACTCTACTCAGAAACCTTTTTTTTAATTGGTGTTTTTATTTTTCAAAGAACGAAAGCGGGCCGGACGAGTTGGAGCCTTTTGCTTGAGCGCAAACTTGTCCAGCTTTCTTTATATTCGTTTTCCAACAATAACAGTTTAAATACAGCAGGGTAGGAGGTTTTAATGGACACGATACAGTATGTACAGTATCAGTGCTTATGGAGCCGTTGCATTGCAAAGAGAATAATGACGTCTTTGTTTAATCCAAGGCTCTCGGAAAACAATTTAAAAAACACTTGTCAGCTGTGAGGATACAGTAAGTGAATTGAACATAGTTCTCACAGAGGATAGGTTTTTAAATTGGAATGGGTGGAGGAAAGGAATAATGTTTTGCTTTGAGTGAATTGTTGCTTATATCCTCACAAATATTTTGGGGTAATTCTTTTGCAACAAATCTCTTCATTTAAAATAAGGTTTCTCAGTATCTTTGTAGATTCAGAGTGGCTTCAGATAATCCAGTATATTTAAAAAAAATATTTTAGCAAAGTCGGGCATCCAGGGTAATGCAAGTACTTGGATTGAGCAGTTCAATTGGGTTACAATTAGTGGAGTACCACAGGTAACTGTGTTATAACAATATCACCACTCTTTTGTATTTATATAGATTGATCTACATTTTGTTTTCAGTAAAGTGTGGAATTTAAATGAAGGGGTGATGTGTTAAGATTGGACAAAGCTCTAGTAAGACTAGTTTGAATGTTATATAAAACGTTGGTCACCATGAGGCGGTAGTATAATGGTCAGCATTGCTGCCTCGCAGCCCTGGGGCCCCGAGTTCAGTTCCAGCTCTGGGCTGCTGTCTGTGTGGAGTGTGTGTGTTCTCCTTGTTCCTCCAGTTTCCTCCCGCAGCTCAAAAACATATTGGTAGGTTAACTGGCTTCTGGGAAAAGATAGGTGTGTGTTTGTAGGTACCCTGCGGTGTACTGGCGTCCACCCAGTTGGAACCGCAAATGAACTGCTCTTACTGCTGCAGCCCCACTCGTCAGAGCCAAGCTGACTCCAGTGGAGTTTGCTGGAGTGCCTCAACTCCGCTCACTGGCAAGCTCACTGGCACCTAGCACGTCACAGGACTCCTTGTTGGGTGGCTGGCTGAGGAAGCCCTGGCAGAGTTGGGCTAGCTGTGAGGAAATCGAGGACACGGTCAGCTAATGGCCCAGCCTACCCTTTATACCAGCAACACACAAGCAGCCGGGCTTGACCTGCACTCCTACAGAACACGTGGTCTGACTCGGTTTCATTGAAAAGCCTGCGCCAGAACTTTCTGTGCCCTCTTCCACCCAGGTTTGGACCACGCCAGATCAGGGCGGAGTCGGCCCTGTTGAGGCAATACTGTGGGGGCACAAGGGCAGCCCCCTACGAGTCGCTGGTGGTGGCAGACATTGGCGATGTCAACGTCAACGTGTACGACCTGAAAGACACCTGCAAGAGGATTCGAGAGGCCTACAGGGAGATCATGGCTGCAGGCTGTGTTCCGCTGACGCTGGGTGAGAGATTGTGCCCGGCCCTTGCTTGCTCCTCCATGGGGGAGTTTTGGCTAGACTTAAGAGTGCCTCTGGCTTCCGTTTCAGTCCAGTTTACTGCCTCAGTACAGTCTTGTTGTTGCACAGTGCTTCACTCGCACAAAACAGAAGGTGTGCAGTTTGATTTCCTAGTCAGAAATCGTACCCAGAATCGAAGAGTTGTTGTGCCAGCAACAAAAACGCCCAGGAAGCCGAGGGGAGAAAAACAATGGCTACCAGTTTTTCTTGACTGAATTTATTATGATAAAAAAAACGTCAAAGGCTGTGGTTCTCTGTCGGGTGGTAAGTGCATTCTATTACATGACAGAGCAACTAATCCCTCAGCACATTGATAGGCTGATAGTCTATAAAAACCTTTACTCCCCTTTTCTGTTTGAGCAAGCTAATCTTAAACAAAAAGTTAAATCTTTAACTTGGTTTAAAAGCTTCTGCAGTCTAAAAAGTGTGGCTCAATGTACCCAGCAATTATTAACTAAAAGGCTCTTTACCCAACATTTTAGAGATAGATAGGTCTTTCTTTATTCCTCGGTTGGTTTTATTTTATAGTACTTTAGTTTGGTTTTGTTGTAGATTGTTTTGTTTCCTGTATATAGAATGTAGCCTATCTACAGTACCTTCTGTGGGTGACAGGTCCATCTCTTGCTGTGCTACAGATTTCTTGAATTTTATCACTTAGAATATCAGTGGTCACCTTCCCTGAACACTGAGCAGGACTCAGAAACTTCTTATGAAGGGCCTTTATTTAACTGATTCTGTGCGCCCTTTCGCTTTCTGACTCCATTCCAGTCCTTCGTTGTAATTGTGTAATACCGCTGTCGCCTCTCACTGTATGCTTTTCTTTCTTACTGTAAAGCACTTTGAGAAGCCACTTATAAAGATGCTATATAAAATAAAAGTATTACTATTACCATCATCATCCCGTGTAAAAGTAAAATGTGCATTAGAATGATGTACATGAATATATGTCATGTGCTTGGAGAACTTTTACTGGCTATGATACAATGGAAACTAATTTCTAAAGACAGGTTACCAATGAGAGGAGACCCTTGACCCTACAGTATTTAACATTTATCCCTGCAGTACCTTTTCTGCCAACACATGTCCAAAACTCAGAAGGATAGTGAGGTTTCACTGTCTGTATTCCTGCTTAAGATCAAGCAAGTTTGAGCCATTCTGTCCCACGGGAGGTTTCTGTTCCCCTGAGCTCACCTGAGCTACCATCGGGCAGGTGAACAGTCCTGTCGAGCTCCCCATGTGCCACTGTCCCTGGAGCGCATTGCCGAAACCTGTGCCCCCAGAGTGATGATTTCCAGTCAAGCACTGGCTGGGAATCGCACATGGACCACCTGCTTGAAAGGTGGTCCTGTGAACCACAACTCCATCCTGCTCAGGCCTTCTTATTGCAGAAAATGCCTTCTTAGGAACGGATTTCCAGTTTTTTCCTCTTGCAGATACTTCAGCCACCAACACAAGATCCTTGTTTGCTTCTTTCAGGCGGCGATCACACCATATCCTACCCAATCCTTCAAGCCGTTGCTGAAAAGTAAGTTTGAATTTCAGACTAACATGCTGTGACTCAGTGCCGATGCATGGCGAGGAGCCATTTGCCACTGAATGCAGGATGAATTAAATCACATCTGTGGTTCATCGAAAGTTGTTACTTTTCAATCTTCCATTAGAAAGTATGAACAATAAAATGCACAGAATTACACTGGAATATAAAACATCACAACTACTTCCTATCTCACTAAGACGAACAATACTTGCCATGGGTGCATTGCACCTGCTGTACCAGCATTTGACCTAATTTATTCCTGGTGCTTGTTAGCATATACGTTTATGTTGCTGCACTCTTTAGTGAGCATACCTTTCAGTACTGAAAAAGAACCAAAAACGTTTAGCTGCATTTTTAGAAGGAAATAATTGAATGCAATGAATTGAAAAAAGTAAAGGCCTCTTAAGTGCTATTTCCTCGTAGTTCTGCTGAAAATGCATTTTCAGTCAAACGCTGCTGCAAGTTCTATCACAATATTTTAACTGGTAAAGACAGAAACTGTATGTAACTGAACACGGAGTTTGCATTTCTTATATATCAGAAAATACTAGTACACAAAACATCTAATAAGGCTTTTTAAGGTAGAGCACCAAGCTAGTTTTGGATGTACTTTTGTTAAAGCAAGAATAAACTGCTAATATATAGACTTAAAGATGGCAAATACAGGTGAACAAGTTCAACTTCAGGTTCATTAAAAAGGCTCGGTAATTCTACCTTGATTCCATTTAGGAAAAGTGTGAAATTGTCATTCTGGTGCATGGTCCATACACCCATCAGATTTGCGGTGCAAAGACATCAGATACTGGAGAGAAGTGGCTTTACCAGTTCAGTCCTGATACTGGGGTTGTGAATTAATGAAATTCTATATTTGAACTCCTTCATCTGAGTTCCTTTAAACTACAAACACAAAGCAAATATCCTAACGTTTTGATAGGCAACGGATTTTAGCACTGGAGTGGTAGCTTTCTATGTACTTCTTTGCTGGCAGAATTATTTACAGGTTTTGTGCATCTTGGGACTAGTAGCGCTAAAAAGCCGATACGCTCAACCGGAAGATTTGTGGCCCTGGAATGTAAAAAAGGTGGAATTGAAGTTGTCCAATAAAATGACCAGCCTGGCTGGAGAGGTGAGTGACGCAGCGTTGTGATGGGCCGTGTTCTGCTTCTGTGTCGGCCAGGCACGGGCCAGTGGGCCTGATCCACGTGGACGCCCACGCCGACACCAGCGACGTGGTCCTGGGCGAGAAGATTGGCCACGGGACTCCCTTCCGGCGCTGCGTGGAAGAGGGGCTGCTGGACTGCGGCAGGGTGGCTCAGATCGGACTGAGGGGCTCGGCCTACTCGGCGGACGCTTACAGGTGGAACCGAGAACAGGTGGCCGTTGAGACCTGACGTGTGACCGTAACAGAAATTAGGAGCAAGTTCAAGTTTACTGTCATATAGGAACAGGTAATAGGTTTATTCCATGCTGAAAAAAAGAAGAAAGAAAACTCACACCTGGAGCCTCACACCTGAAGAAGTTTTCTTTCTTCTTTTTTTCAGCATTTTCATCTTCTAATTTTTTCACCTTAACTTGTTCCTTTGCAGCCTACACATGCTAACGCAGCTAACCACCTGAACTACTTATTGCCATATATACTTGAGTGCAGTGAGCCCCGATGAGCTCTGTTGGCAGAGCATGAGACTCATAATCTCAGGGTAGTGGGTTCGTGTCCCACGTCGGGCGCGAGGTTCTCTAATAACCCATACTGGGCAGCAGCAGTATAGGGTGGTGTTGGCGGCTGAGGATCACGTTTCCGTGACAACGGCAACAACACTCGCACTATCTGCGCGGATGAAAGGTCTGGCAATCTACTTCTGTATCTTGTCATGAAAACTATATGGATAGTGACAGGGGAATTATCCACAGGGTTGCCAGGAGTCGACACCGACTCAATGGCACTCATCCTGTCCCACTTGAGTGCAATGAAATGCTTACTTGTGTGTTTTACTCACGTGACAGATGGACATAACAAATGACATCACAATTCTTGGAGACAGGAACAGGGTAGCAGCTCTCATTTTAACCATTTTTAGATGGCAGTGAAATTCAGCAGCGGGAATATTCTGAGTTCAGTGCAAAACAGAGGGTGTAAGAGGGGGCAAGATTTAAGAGGTGGAGTTTAGGACTCTTTTGGCTCTGGGATAGAAGCTTGCAGGGGGTTCAGCCCATCAGAGCTCACCATCCTGTACAGTACATGAAACCTGGTTCGAAAACATCCCACTACATCCAGACAACCCCAGCGCTGCAAGGCCACAATATTAACTAGTGTGCCATCCGATTTGTTGAAATCTAGTGTAATAGGCGACGAGATGCAATACGTTAGTAGCCTAATTTATGTAATATTTCCTATTTCACAATCTGGTGTTGCTACCTGGTTTTCCTGCACGCCAGGGTGCAGATAGAGGGTTTCCAGGCACAGGCAAGTCCTGAATCCCGTGCCGCTTGGTTTGCGTGTGACCCAGCAGGGGTTCCGGGTGGTACCGGCTGAGGAGTGCTGGTCCAAGTCCCTGACGCCCCTCATGGCAGACATCAGGCAGCAGGTGGGAGGAGGGCCCGTCTACCTCAGCTTTGACATTGATGCTCTAGATCCGGCCTTCGCCCCGGGGACTGGGACCCCCGAGATTGCTGGGCTCACCCCCATCCAGGTAGGCAGGCCGCTTCTGTTATTTCTCACCGTTGTCCTGATTTTCTCTGCTCGCTCTTGCCCGATCAGCGGTATGCTTTTGTATCATGGGCATTTTTCTGAATTCAATAGGTAGCATCTTAGCGATTATTATTGCCGTTGTTCCTGTGCTTGTAAAGGCAGACGGGCGGTTCAGTTCAGCTGTGAAAGCCACTACCTCCGGCGCCTGCAGCTTTGCAGCCTGGAGAGCTACAGTATCAGATCTCCTGGATTTCGTTCTGCTCTCAGCTCTCGGACTCTCCCCCCGGTTGGTTATTGGCTAGGGAGACAAAAACAACATGACCTCGCCTCGCCGATTGAACACGCTTCTAGGACTTTGTGAAAGGGGTAGACTGCAGCCATCGCACTGCAGTTCCATTTTCATCCGGCCTCTGGAAACGTTCCAACGCGAGCGGGAGGTCATGTTTCTCAGGGTCTGCTGTATCCAGTTGACTGCGGTCGGCTCTTCGGGTTTCCGGGTTTAGCTTTTTTGTGTGACAGCCCCCCCCCGGGGAGCAGGAGGGGAGTCACAGGCCTTGTGGATGTCGCCGGCAGGCCCTGGAGATAATCCGCGGCTGCAGAGGACTGAGACTGGTGGGCTGCGACCTGGTGGAAGTGTCGCCTCCCTACGACACCACAGGTACGGGGCGTCACTCAGCACGGCTCTCGCGGCCGAGAGGAAGTCAGAAAGATCTGAATAGTGGACAATGAACTTTTTTTTCTTCCTTTTGGTCTCCCTACTACATATTTATTTGTTTTTCCACCACATGTTGATTGTTCCTGTCGTCCACATTGTGTGGACTGTTGTACTGTGTGTGTCCCGAGAGATCAGCGCGATTAAGAAGTCCAATGTACGTGTACATATGGCAATGAACTACTCTACTACTACTCTTCTTTTAATAAGTCAAATAGATCAGTGAATCAGTTTTTTTAATGATTATGGCTCTCCCACCCCATCATACTGAAGGTAATAGTTAAATACTACTACTACTAATAGTATACAGGTGCCAATGCTGTTAATGGAATTCACATCATCCTAACTTTCATTTTTAATTACACCATCCAGGGTCTATCCCACCTTGTACCCAGTACTTCCCAGGATAGGCTCCAGGCCACCATGACCCAGAACTGGATGAGCAGTTATTGAAAGTGATGATACTGCATATATTCATCTTTGATATTATCAGGATTTACACAGTTACACAGTCCACCAACTGTGGCTCCCAGCTTGTATTCTGTATTGGAAGAGTGCTGGAATAGAGAAAAATGTCTACAAGAATGATTAAAGCTTCTGCTCCAATTTCAAGGCTTAAAATGACAGATGGCTCTGGCCATGGGTATCATCTCCAAGCAGACTAACCATAAATCTTTGCTTTTTTCATCCCATAGGTAATACTGCTTTGACGGCTGCTAACCTCCTCTTTGAAATGATGTGCGTCCTCCCAAAAGTGAAATACTACTGAACTCTTTCTGTGACGTGATGAGAAACACCCTGCAGTCAATTTGTGTTTTTCTTTTTGGTGGGTTAACAAATTCACAGCAATGGAATCTATATGTCTTAGAGTACTAAGTAGGTATTCTATAAAGAACGCATCTATTCTATACTAATCTTGATAAACAGCCTTAATTTCATTAAGACGTGCTGAAATCACTACCACATCTGATTCACATTTAAATTGAAATGTATGTCATGTCATTTGCCAAACCGCTTTATATCATACGGTGTCGCAGGAAGCCAGAGCCTGCCCGGCCAGCAACGAGCGCAAGGCAGGGTACACCCTGGACAGGACGCCAGTCCATCGCAGGGCAAGTGCAAGCCAATCATACATGGGGGGCAATTTGAAGGCCACGGTAAAGGCCAAGGCGGGAAATTTGGCCCACACACAGGGATAGCTCCCCTACTCTTATCGAGAAACGCCGGGGAATCTTTAATGAGCACTGAGAGTCAGGACCTCGCTTTAACAGTCTTATCCGAAAACAAATGTAATTTTTTTCTAATTGTTTTTGCGACTTGGGTGAGACTTTGTATTGAGACTATAGGAGGATGCATTAAATGAAAAGAGTTCGACAGCTGTGTCCATTTTATTTTCGCCCTGGAATTTACTGTACAGGCCATGTTGCCACAAATGTTTGCAATAACATACTGTGTCTGAAAAATGAAAATGCTACAATGAACAACTTTTTCTTAAATTGAAAAAAAAAACAGATCTTTAGGAATGGCAAGATTGAGAAGACCTGAAATTGACTCATCACATTTTTTTTTTAAAATTTACTTTATTATAGTTACCCAAACCTTGTTTCCCTTTGGTAGCAGAAACATGAAACTGTAAAGTGGAGGATTCAGTATTTTACAAGGTGGGTAGTCTACTATTAATATATGACAAGATTAGCTATCAGATTAATCAGATATTTCACTCTTATTTTACTGTGAAACATCCATCCTAAAACCCTTCTGAGGAAAAGAAAAACAATTTAATTAAAATAACTTCTGTTTCTTCCTCAAGAGCACAGACCGTCTCAAAATAACATTTAAGCAGATGTTTTTGAAAATCTCTAAACTTATTTAGACTCCCAGGCCTTTCTGTGTGGGACACTGAAATGTGAAACTTCACGATTTCATGAAGTGCCAACATGGTCTACGGGATCCAGTTAAACCAACTGCCAACACCTTCATCCACCAAAAAAAGTTCAAAAATTCAACTTTATTATTGTTACAGAACATTAATGCAACATTTATAAACCACAGCACAACCTATTTATATACAAGACGTACAGTATGTACAGTTTAAATAAAAGCATGTGTAGTTAAATCAGCTTTCCTTCACTTTGTTATTTTATTGGGGAAGATCCTCAGCCAGTATTTAAAATTTAAATATTGGCGCTCCCCCAGCCAATATTTAAAACAGCAGCATACAACGCAATTTAATCCAACGAAAAAAAAAATCTCTTTGTATTACATGTGATCAGCAGCATTATTAAACTGTGTTAAAGACAGAGTTTATTACTTTCTCTTTTCTCTGCATCTGGCATTGGAATGTTTCCAGTAAGCTTTCATCCATCCATTTACTAACCCCTTCACAGTGTTGTGGGGGAGCTAGAGTCTATCACAGCATGCAATGGGCACAAGGCAGGGTACACCCCGGATGGGACACCAGTCCTGTGCAGGGTACACACTGATACAAACAATTCACGCCAGGGCAAATTTTCCCAGAAGCCAATTAACATACCAGTAAGCCTTTGGACTGCGGGAGGCAACCGGGGCACCTGGACAGAACCCACGCAAACACATGGAGAACATACAAACTCCCCCCAGACAGTAACCCAGGTCAAGAACTGAACCCAGGGCTCCGGTACTGCAAGGCAGCAATGCTGACCACTGCGATACCCCGCTGGCCAGTAGGCTTCCATCAAATTACAACCCCAATTTCTGTCGATGGAATCGGGGGAAACAAGCAGGTGTCCATCAGTGTTGCAGCTTAGCCGACTGTGAACTTTACTCACTATTAGTACAGGATTTCAAAAGGCTTTGTCACACACGTGTATAACATTGAAACACAGCTACACTAATTCAGCAGTGCACAGTCCCTGATCTTGCAAGACCTTGCAAGACAATTTGGCTAAACTTGCAGCAACCAAACGGATTCTTTGCCCATTTTGGAGCTTGAAAGCTACATTGTCGGCTGAGGGCGTTTTTTAGAAAACAGACTTTCTGAAGGGTTGGACAACTCAAAACATTTTCAAAAGATCAGATCAAAGGTGCGCTGATGTTAAAGGGCCCAGTTAAACCAGTTAATCCACGTTTCAATCATGATATGCTCTAATATGGAAAACGTTTGAATGTCCCTTGCATCTTTTTGTAGGCAAATGTCTTATCCTGCACTGCAGTGCTCGACTTAAAAAAAACTAACTGGCAAGTGTCCAACATACAATAAAAAAAGATATGGTTGTCTCAGTACTTGAGTGCTACTGAAGAACATGCCGACACAGTAAATGTATGTAAAATAAATACAATTCTGAACTACAGCAATGTTGGCTGTTAGTTACTGCCATCTCTATAGGCTGTGCAATTCAGAAGCCAATGTAGTCAATCTAACTCGTTCACTGTATACCTTCCTCAGATTTCATAGCATACAACTTACTGTATGCTTTTCATACACTAGGGAAGTTATGTCTAATTGAAAATATAATGCATGATTACAAAGCTTGTCCCTTTTATTTGAGTATTGTTTGTCTAATGTCTAAAGCATGTCTAATCTATTTACATTGTAACTCGTGTCTTTCTACTTCATGGGTAACTGAATGACCTCACTATACAATGCCAAAGAAGTGCCTGTAATCAAGGTCACCTATATCAGAAAGCCTATAATAAATCCCATGCTGGTCAGTGGAAAAACTAAATTTGTTACATGGTACACAAACTGAGAATTCAAAGTCTACAGAATTAAATATGAACTTTATCTATTACAGTTAACATTATCTCTGACAACATACAAAATTTTCCATGGCTTGGAATTGAGCAGAATAAAATATTGAAAAAGCTAGTCAGTATTTTCATAAGTGCAGGGGAAAAAAAGGATGAATTAAACCAACCTTTACGCAAAACGAGATAGTTTACCAAGCAATTGGTTAAAAGCACCACTGGTCTTGTCAAACACTGGCAGAAGAGTGACTGGGAGCAGAGTTTTGGTAAAAAGAATCCGATGGGCTTGGTTTGGTTCAGACTTAATCAGCGTGCTTGACTTCAAATACAAAACCAATATCTCTTTAAATTCCGATCTCCTCTGTGGCAATGTATTCAATGAAGTAGTGCAAGCCATTTTTAATTAAAGCCCAGATCAAATTAAAATTCCGATCTTACATTAATTATAATCCCCTTGCTTTAATTGGATTTTTGTTTGCTAGAGCTCTCTTTTTCTGCTCAATGAAAATTCCGCCAGCAGGTATTGAATTTTTCTGCATTTGGAATGATTTTGTCTTCACTACATAACTCCATTTTGGATACAGCTGTCAATGCATATTCTACAGCACGGGTAAATATACTTCTGAGGGTTAAATATATTACTACACACGTCTTAATCTTATATTCCTTATATCGTACCCCGTGCTTTCATTTCCACTTCTCACTTCATTGTCTAATAACCACGGTTCAGTCAAGTCTTGGTGAGAGCTCAGTTCAAAAACTGTTTTACACCAACATGTTTTGAACTTCCTTTTGAATTTTATAAAAATATGTATGTTTTCTATCAGGAAGGTGTAAGCTGAACCAGAGTCCAGTTGTGTAACACATCAAGGAAAATCACTTAGTTTTTTTCCAGAAATGTAATGTTCTAATGTTTAGAAGAGAAGCACAGTTTTTTGGGGTTTTCCGTCTTACTGGTTCAATGGCTCCCTTAATGAGCAATTTCTTGGGCATTTGGTCGCTCCACCGAAACCTCCAAAGAGAAGTTTGTTACGACAAAGACGAGCGTTTATTTCCAGTTCGAATGGAACTGATCAGAAACTCACAGATGTGGCCTTCTCCTCTATTGTTTTGACTTGTCATTCTCCCGTTGGTCTTCCAAGTTTTCTTTTTACATTGGATGACTTAAAGGAAGCCCTTCCTTCAAAACAGTTACAAATAAAGCTGCCAGAAAGTCACCTTGAGCTTTTTCAATTGCTTGCATAATAAAACCCAATTTAGCCATGGACAACCCGGCTACGAGACCTATACATTTGACAGCCTGGGGTTGGAGTAGTTGCGTCAGCTGTTTTGATAAAACCCAACATCAGGCAGCAGCAAAACTCAAAAATGTGAAGGGAAACGTTGTTACATTACCGTTTGAAATGAGAATCACTAAGGACGTCACCTGATTTTGTCATCGGGGGGGTAACCTTAAAATCTGTTGCATCGTATGAAAATCGGGTTAAAATGAACCCACTGTCCTCTCCAGTGAGATGTCAGAAAGGGTGAGCGTTTCAGGAGACAACTATTCCACAGTTTGAAAACTAAAGCGTTAGAACAAAAAAAGAAACGAATGGAGACATGCCAGCCATAGCAGTGTAGGCAGAAGGGTTTTGACCTCCACATGACAGTTGCTGATAATCTAAGGAGGGGACGGTGTAAGCTATGTAACATCTCCTCCTCCAGTGCACCACATACTGGGGCATTTTCTTTCTGTTCTTTACAGGACACCCGCGCTCGGAAACTAAGTAATCTCAATTCAGTTTGCACTTGCAGGCCCCGGTGTTATTGTTATTCCCATAAGGGGCGTTATTTTGCGGGGGTGATCTTCTCCAGCCCGGGCCAGGCCGGGATGTAGTGCCTGGGCAGGGTCCCTTCCATCAGGCGCTCCATCCACAGGCCCAGCCTGTCCAGTTTGTGGTGGATCTGCAGGGTGGAGGCGGAGCGGGAGTGTGGGATGTGCTTCCGCGGCTCGTCCTTGGCGCCAGACCTCGGCCTGCCCTCCTCCGACGACGACCTGCCACCGCCTCCGCCGCCGTCGCCCTCCTCCCCGGTGTAGACGGGCTTGAACAGGCAAAAGTACTTCTTATGGCCGTTGAGCGCCAGCACGAAGCCAGTGTAGTCCGCCTTGCGGGCGCTGTCGTCGTCTTCGTCGCTGTCCATCTGCAGGGCGTCGGGTGCGACCTCCAGCAGAGCGTCCATCCACTCGCTGTGCTTGTCCACGTTCAGGAAGGAGAAGTGCAACGTGAGGCTCCTGCCGGGAACACGGTTCAGAAACGGACAAAGATAAAACATCCCCCCATCCATCGTCTAACCACTTCTCCCAATTCAGGGGCGTGGGGGAGCCGGAGTTTATCCCAGCAAGCTACAGGCGCAAGGCGGGGTACACCCTGAGCGGGACACTAATCCATTGCAGGGGACAAACAGACACGGAGCATGAAGAAACCCATGTGAACACGAGGAGAACATACAAACTCCACACACCCCAGGTCAGGAATTGAACCCAGAACCCCGGTTCTATGAGACACCTTTGATAACCACTGTGCCGCCAACACCCAAAAAGCATGTTCTGCTGATGAATGCTTCTATTAGTTAAACTTGGCATGAGCACAATATTATGTTCTTTAGAGAACCAGCAACATTATGCAACCATTATGTTATCTGTGCATAGATGGTACCCTACCCCTTGTCTGCTGCATGCCAACATTCACCGCAAAAAAGCTCAATCAGCGGATGTTTGGTTAGGAAGTATGGTATTGTTACTCAAATTGTTTACAGGGGATTTTTCAGGATACTGTCTCTTCGTTGTGCGATAAAGCACTTTGGAAAAACGTACACAAATCATTAAGTGGGAAGAGTCAGCGAGGACAGATAACACGCATCTACCCAGAAACACATTCATTTGACTAATGCAGCAAACATCCAAGATCACGCAGAAGACCATGCAGATGTAATGCATTTTTGCTTTGGGTTATTTTGAACTGCTGTTTACTGCTGTCACAGCTCAGTACAGGGGAAAGGAGACTCACCCAGTGAAAGAGTAAACTTCTTTAGCAAACTTGCTGAGCAGGACATTCTTCGAGGCATTCGTTAGTACCAGGACCACATTGATGTGCCCTGGCCTCAGACGGACCAGATTGCTGGTGTACGTGATGTCAGTCAGCTCAGTCACTTCCACAAAGTTCTTCTTTGGTGGCCGACTGCAAAAAGCAAAGCAACATCTGATTTCCAACTCGTATTAAATGCATCTCTTTTTAACTAGGAGCATATCCTCTCCATTTTTTTTGCAAATTATTTTTTTCCAAATTAAATCCATATACATTGCTAGGATTTACTGCAAACTGTGTCAAGAAAGAATCAACAAGACCTGAGCCTCTATGGCAAAGTGCTTTCTTTCTTTCTGCAGATTTCAACATCCAGTACTTTAATCACAATGATCAAATCGTTTGACTTACTCAGGGCAGACTCCACCTTCAGGTTTGCTGCACGAGTGACAGACGGACAGCCTGCCTTTCTGTAGATCTGCAGGTGAACCTGAGACATGATCTTCTGACCCACATCATCCAGCACAGAATTGCCAGCATTGCAGCTACCATAATTAAAATTCCCCAATTATTTCATTCTGTTCTTTGTTCCCAGTTGTGTGGGGGGCGGGGGGAGCTGGAGCCTATCCCAGCAAAAAATGGGCGCAAAGCAAGATACACCCTGGATGGGACGCCAGCCTATCGCAAGGCACACACAGACCCACACACTGACACCTCTGACACTGACACCTGACTTTCTCAAAAGCCATTCAACTTACCACTATATCTTTGGAAGGTGCAGTTTCGTTCTGAACCGCAGTTTCAGAGCCAGGACAGGTTTAAAGAAATGCAATGGACAACTGCAAGTGGTCACTCCCAGGAGGCCTGGAGGGACTTTGAGCACATCCAGCCTTAAAGACCACTTGCCACATGGAACGATTGACAATGGACAACCACACTTTCAAAGACCTTTCATTATTTGGTAGAGATTTTGTTAAGATCACTTTATTGGCCCTATACAATCTCTTGTATTAGGAATTTGTCTTTTCGCAGACCCCAGCTTGTTCTCCATGAGACACACAGACAGGGAGAGAAGCTGGGGGTCAGAGCGCAGGGTCGGCCATTTCTACAGCACCCCTGGAGCAGTTGGGGTTAAGGGCCTTTTCTCAGGGGTCCAACGGAGTAGGATTCCTCTGCCAGCCACGGGATTTGAACCGGCAACCTTCCAGCCACAGGCGCAGATCCTTAGCCACAGAGCCACCGCTCCGCCCATCGTTGTTATGCTAGAGCTTTGTAAGACTGGTAAGCACTTTGGGGGAAAAAAAGTTAAAAAATATATCTTTGCAATGTGGGAGGAAACTGTAGCACCCAGAAGAAAAATGCACAAACATGGGAAGAAACCTAACACAGATAGTACCCCAGGTCCAGAACTCTGCTAGCAGTAATGCTAACTGCTACACCACCTTGTGACTATAACAACATGCTCCAATATTCCATTGGTTATTATGACTGGCTGTAGGGAACATGCTGTATGTGAGGGGATCATACCTGGACTGGTTTGCACTGCTGGGGGATCCGTTTTCGGGCTTTTGTGTGTTTTCCTTCGCCTTGGGCTTCGGCTGTTTGTCTTCACTTGAGTCGCTGAAATAAAATATGTCTGTAAACAAAGATGGGGGGGGCTAAGTCACATCCGGCCTGAAGCGAGACTACAAGAGGCGATCCTGCTCACCTGAAGGCCTGGATGATAACTGTGCCAAACAAGATGAAGAGCGCCGAGAATATCAAGGACAGCAGGGGCATCATCTCGCGCCTGCAAACGGCACACAGCAGCTCGTTAGGGAAAACAGATGACGAGATGTCTCAGGACAACGGACAAAAACAGGCTTCACACGGGGATAGTCGGTCTGTCAGAAAAATGTATGCAATCAGCAGATCATATCAAATCTGATTTTCTTAAATGCTCAATTTTAACACTGAAGCTTAAACATCAGGTCCACTTCAGATAGTTTTTTTTACCAACAGGTTGAAGGAACATTTTTAGTCCTGAAAAGAAAAGCCTGCAAGCCTAGAAGACTATTCAAGTGATAAATGGCTTGTCCTGACACATTTTTGTACGGAGCACAATTAGAGCTTCAAGCCCTAAGACTTTGAAGGGAGCTGAAGAGCTGAATGTCCTGCACGGACAGGTGGAAGAAACTGAGCCTTGAGTCCTGAACAGAGATGATTATGAGAAGATCTGATCCAAGTACTCACTGTCCTCCAAGACACTGACCAAGTCCACCCAGCAGCCTTCTTCACAATGAACAGTGAAACATGAACCAGAAAATACAATTGTAAGCTACGTATGAAATTGAGACCAGGAGGCCCTTCTTTACACAAAGGGTTGTGGGAGTATGGAACAAGCTACCAGCCACATAATTGAAGCCACTATCCTAGCTTTTTTCAAGCAACAGATGGATGAAATCCTTGGATGAACTAACCACAAACTACCAAACAGACTACATCGAACAAATGGTCTCCTCCTTGTTTCAACCATTCCTAGGTTACATCTATTTACACTATCAATTCCTAAAGGGTTTATATTTGAATCAAGGCAAGAGGGCAATTATTACAGGCTCGTTCTGGGACAAATAAAATCGTTCTGGAAAGGCAGTAACATTGTGACAGATTAAATTCAGCTCACTTGTCTCTAGCTCCAGCTGCCAGGCTGGTGTAATGTGAGCACAGAGCTAAAAATGGATTGGACAAGCTATAAAAGAACTGACAAACTGCGGAGTGGGGCAGCACACTGCATTCAAACCTTCACAGCCATGCTGGAATTCTGTACTATGGATCATGTCAGATCATTTATCATTTATTTCAGCACCTATCTATGTACACGGAATTATATGCTTCAAATTTGAAGATTTTCATTAGGTTTTGAAATGGGTTATAGCCATATAATATTGTCAAAATGCTATTTTCCACTGTTCAATGTTCATTTTTCACTGAACTTCTGCTCCCGATGGGAGATTTGTTATAAGGTGGTCACTGGTTTTGCCATTCCTTTAACTACTCTTATTTATATGTTGTTTTATAAATAAGTATCTTAATCGGTAACCACTACGGTACAAACAATTTCTTCACTTAAAGTTAGTTATTACTAAATTGTGGGCACAGTTAACATCCTAATGTATCATGTATCATGCAGAGCTGTCACAGGTATCATGTAAAATAGGAATTCAGTATAAAATGACTGGACCAATTATCTGTTTTTACATTAAAATATTACAGCACATAATGAAGTCCTGAAAATAAAGGAAGGAAACTGTGGAATACTGTTAAAATATAGCTGGCTTAACATTTTTACAGTTCATTTTCATAGTTCATACTCTAGTAAAGACAGCAATGAAGACTGATAATTGCTATGAATACTGAAGAACTTCCTCCTTTTCATAACAATGGGAATCTGAATAACATACCAGTTATTGTGGAGAAGATCATCACCGATCTGCGCCAGGTAATCATAGGCTGTATACATCCACCGAATGAGAAACATCTGAAAATTATGAAATAACATTATTCTTCTGCATTTGTTCCCATTTAACTTAATAACGTTTGTCTCTTTACTTGCCAAAATAACACAACAATGCTGCTTTCTTGTCTTTGCTTACATGATTTTCTGCAGATAAAAAATAACAGAATAAAATTTGCATTTATTCCAACAACAGCACTATATAAATGATATGGTAAAATAGCAATGATTGACAATGTCCTTACAGCAACATTATATCAAGTCTGATGTGTGAAATTAATATTAATTACAGTGCACTTAGGACACTTTTTAAAAATAGAAAAATTAAGGATCCACTGAGTTCTTAAGTAGCTTGTATACCTTAAGGAACAGCAACTAATACGGATAAGTAAAATACCTATTTTCTATCATCTCAATATGTGGTTATTAAAGAAAATACAAAAGAATTCAAGATTTAATGCAAAACATTTTTCAAGGGGGGTAAGTCGAGGTCTCTTGCATTTACTTTTTTCTTGAAGACATTTCGCTTTGTCAAAAAATAAATGAGCAATGTATTATCAAACTAGTAGTGTGAAAATATGAAACAGGACTATGCTGTATGTGCACTACACTGAATGATATTTTTTTGGGACAGTGGTTAATACTGCTACCTCACAGAGCTGGGGCTCTGGGTTCAATTCCAGACCTGGGAGACTGTCTGTGTGGAGTTTGTATGTTCTCTCTGCATTTGCGTGAGTTTCCTCTGGGTGTGCTGGTTTCTTCCCACAATCCAAAAACATACTGGTAGGTTATTTGGCTTCTGAGAGAATTGACCCTGGTGTGAGTGTGTGCCTGTCTGTGTCTGTGAGTGCCCTGCAATGGACTGGCGTCCCATCCAGGGTGTATCCTGCTTTGTGCCTGAATTGGAAAAAGCCGTTAGAAAATGGATGTATGGGTGATATTATACAAGAGAGTTGTCTGTCTGAAACAGCAGCATTTATAATAATTCCTTACACTTATATAGCGCTTTTCTGGACACTCCACTCAAAGCACTTTACAGGTAATGGGGATCCCCTCCACCGCCACCAATGTGCAGCCCCACCTGGATGATGCAACAGCAACTACTGTATACTGTACACTCACCACACATCAGCTATCAGTGGGGAAAAGAACAGAATGATGAAGCCAGTTCCTAGGTGGGGATTATTACAAGGGCATGATTGGTAAGGGCCAATGGGAATTTTGGCCATAACGCCATGGTAACACCCCTTCTCTTTTCAAGAAACACCCTGGGACCACAGAGAGTCAGGACCTCGGATTAACATCTCATCCAAAGGATGGCATCTTTTTACAGACTCGTGTCCCCGTCACTATACTGGAGCATTAGGACCCACACAGACCGCAAGGTGAGAGCCTCCTACTGGAGGTACACCTCTTCTAGCAGTTTTTCCCATCCAGGTACTGACCGCTGCTGAGCTTCAGGGGAGTTTTTATAAGCAATAAAGGACTCTATTTCAGCGACTCACAGATGCAAATTCGTTGTTTAACTCGGGGAGCATGGCGTCGTAGGTGAGGATGGAGGGGTCCTTCTGCAACAGCTCCAGCTGCTCCAGAAGCCGGTATTTGTCTTCCTCGCTGCCATTCCAGCCCCCGGTGATGGGCTTATACAGAACCTTCCCCGCCGCGTTCCTCCTCTCCAGAATCACAATCTGAAAAACAAGGCAGCCCATTCAGAGCTCAGTGCTGTGGGTTAGTGCAGTGTCAGGGCAGGCACTGCGGTTGGGAAAGGCCCTGAGCAGTGACTGAGCTTCCTCTGGGGCCTACCTGGGGAGGGTTTCACATCTGCATTTAATATTCCAATCATTTGTGGCTTTTTTAAAGCTCTCTTCATATACGGATAACCTGCTTCTCTTATTGCGGCGATTGCATATTGGATCTGTGCCGGTGGCTGGAAGGTTGCTGGTTCGTATCCCGCGGCCGGCAGAGGAATCCTACTCCGTTGGGCCCCTGAGCAAGGCCCTTAACCCCAGCTGCTCCAGGGGTGCTGTATAAATGGCTGACCCTGCGCTCTGACCCCAGCAAGCTGGGGTCTGCGAAAAGACAAATTCCTAATACAAGAAATTGTATATGGCCAATAAAGTGTTCTTATCATAATGATCATTATGACCCTCAGGGCCATCAGTAAAAGCAAAGCTCCCTCACTGGTGTGCCTTACTGCACACAGTGGACAGTGGAAGCTTGGTGCACTATGACCAAAGCCACACTGCTATCATTTCAGAACATACTAGACATTTTGGAGATTTAACGGGGTTGACTGCAGTGAACATGTTCCAGAAGTGACATCACTGGCTTCAAACCAAGGCAGTGGAGAATTCTGCTGTGGCAGAGGAGCTGGTCTTTGGCTCTTTAACAGTGGAGTTTGTTGCGGTCTAGGCAGTGGTGCTGCTTCCGCTCGGAGCCTGTGATCAACCATGGCTGAACCCTGACACGTTGCAGAGCTGCACACGTTACAAAGCCATCACACAACACATGCTATCTGGCACTGTGCACTGTGTACACAACAGCCCGCCCATCTCCAGTCAATCCTAATCCTGCGCCGATCACGCACCAATAATGAGACAGCCATCAGAGTGAGATGGTTTATCACACAGCACACTTTTATCACATACACTCATGAGGGCTACCGGTTCGCCAACTTGACTTCTTATCTAGGCGCCGTTCGATTTCATCATGCGTTTCTCAGCCTTCAACAGAGACGAGTAAGGCCGATTCACATAGCATAATAATATTCTAAAACAGAAATTCCCGAGTGGTTCATCCATGAATGGGCTCCACTAAGAGTTGTCGACATGATCTAGGGAGCATTGTTTTGAATCTGCTATACGCTAATAATCAGTAGTGAATAGATTCTCAAACAGCTGACAGCGACTGGGGTTTGGGTAAGTACACTGTCAGTCCCCGTCTTGTCAAGCAACCTGCAGTCTCGCTGTCTTATTAGCAAGAACTGCATCAGGAGCTCAGCTGTGTGTAAAAAGGTGGCCTGACACTGTAAGATCCAGAGCAATGTGTGTAGCCTCCTTCTTCCTTGTGCTGGGATGACAGACAGCAGGTGCCAGGCAGGTCACAGAAAGCACAAACTGTGTAACAACTGAAAATAAGGTCATGTCCAGGCGTACAGACCTGAGGGGGGGCACCGTCCCTGCCCCTCAGCAGCGCGTCACACAGGGGCTGCTGCTGTTTCTGGTAGACGTAGGCAAACCGCAGAACCTCCTTCGCGTTGGCAGAGGCAAAGGAGAGAAATTCATTGTAGCCCCTGGTGAACGAGTCCCCTTCACCAGTGATCAGCAGGATACAGTATCTACAAAATTGTGTCAAGAAACAGCCAATCAATTGAGCCCGGCGTTTAACCTGTTTTTATTAAAACAGCATGCATCGTGACCTAAATAAACAAAAGGCACCGTTTATCTGCCACATCAGTGTGCAAATACATTCAACACTATAATATTATTAAGCTCTGCATAGACAAATTCTATTTTTTTTAGCAAATGTCTCTTCGTAGGATAAGGAATTCTTTCCAAACAAACTTTGGAATTACGCACCAAGCATACCAAATCAGGTATTTGCATCTTTTATAAAAAGTAATACTTTTACTATCTTTAATCATTTAAAAAACCCGATCTGACTGAAAACCAGTGCATAGTAATTGAGTTGCTTGATAAAGTCCTAAACAAGAAGGGGGGCAGTGATTCACAACTTCATTTTAAGCAGAATGTTGGCATCAAAGCACAGAATAACAGCTGACTTATGGTACCAAAATTTACATCTATGAAAATAAAAAGAAACTGTGAAGATGCTCCTAAATTAAAATGCAAAAAGCAGAACACATTTAAAATTAAAGGGTCACAATAATTTTAGACAATTAAAAAGTTTTAAATCTTTCCATCTCTGTTCATCATCATAATCATCATGGAATAAGCTTGTATAAGTTAAAACCTTGAATGGCTGTGAGATAACAGCATCACTTTTGCATAGCAAATAAGAAACTTTATCAACTCTGTTTTGTTTTTTTTTTCATTTACCAGACATTTAACAAACTCTTGGCCTTGTGAATGCTTTAAAGCTAATAAAGGTGATACTTACTTTCTCCGTCTGTGGAACTGCTTCACAGGACAGAGCTCGTCAAACAGCTTCTGGTTCACCAGTCGAGGAACCAGGAGAAATCTGTTGTTCGAGATGAATTCCTCGATGATTTGTTTCTTCATCCCTCTAGCCTGGCAGACAGGAAACACAGATGAGAGAAGACAAGATTAAAATTTGCAAAACTTTTCAGTGTGAAGAATAATTAGGTGGGAAATGAAACACCTGCTGACAGGGGCCTGCTTGGTCTGAGCTGATGGAAAACAGAAAGCAGGAAGTCAATAATACTGGCAAGCACAAACAGCAAGTGGAGAATTAATATATGACACAATATATTTTCAAACTAGGTGATACCCTTAAACATGACATACTTTGCACGGTCCTTATAGACAACAACGTACAAGTAATTTGCTGCTTGTGCATCTGCACTAGTCTTGCTGAGATGACTTGATGACAGAATCGGAGATGTTAGAAAACAACACGTCTCTCATCCTGTCCCTCTTCTGCTGTGCTTAACAGCAGAGAGAGATCAGGTCAATACGTTTTTCAAACCCTTGCCGGCTTTTTTCCTAATCCACACTGACAGTTCTGACAGTGAATGTAGCCAGCCATTTCAGCAAATAGTCAAGGATTTCAGAGGATAATGTGACTTTTTTATTAGGTCATTTGTAGACTTTGCCATTAGAAATAACGCATGCAGTAAATATTAACAGTCCTTGCAACTATTAGAGTTATTAAACAAAATCCATCCATCCATTTTCTAATCCAGTGCAGGGTCACAGGGGGAACCAGAGCCTAACCAGGCAAGCAGGATGCACCCTGGACAAGACGCCAGTCCATCGCAGGACACACAGACACAAACACACTCACACCAGGGATGATGTTTAAAGAAGCCAGTTATCCCAGAAGCATGTCTTTGGACTGTGGGTGGAAACCAGAAACCCACACAAATACATGAGGGACATACCAACTCCACACAGACAGTAGGAATTAACGCAGTGCTATTAGACTTAATCTTACTCCATGTTTTCTACATGATTTCTTTTCTATATACTGTACTTTGCTGATTAGCCAGGGCTGGTCCTCCCACAAGTTACAAGGCCACCCAGTCTAACAAAAGCAAGCCTCATACAGTGAGCAAAAGACTAGGTACGTTTTCTCCTGAATACAACTGAACCTAGAAAGGGAGGGTGTCCATCCTCCAAAGGGTGCTATTCATCGATAATATCATATTATTGATATGAATAATTATATCAATTACCGTATATGTAATAATAACTTATAACATACAATAAATTAATTACATATGAACAATATGATATCAATATCTTGTTATTCATACCAATAACCTCTGACAGCTGACAGATCCTACAGGACATTATTTGGAGATAAAGGCATTCAAAAATAAAAATAAGTCTTTCTAGCTTTCTCTATGGGTGAAAGTACATTGACTTCACTGATCAGATTTCCCAACACTCTCATCAGGCGTGAATTAGCACCAGCTAATAACTTGTAAAAATATCCAGACTCTAGATTGTGGTGGCAATACAAATACAAAATGTACCTGAATGACATCGGCTGGTTTCTCAATGTTCTCCTTGAAGAGGAGCATGGTGGGGGCGTAGCTGTTGATGTTGAACTGTCTGAGCAAGCTCTCAGTCTCAGACAGGCCTTGGTCCACATATCCAAAGCGGACAAAGTCCTTGTAGGCAAACGCCGTGAGCTGTGGGTGAAAAGCAGGTGTCAGAAAGGAAACCAATCACTTGGCCATCCAGGCAAAGTCTTGAATTGCAGCAACCTGAAAACAAACAGTGCCTCACTCATGTTTTATTTTAAGAAGGCCATGTCATCAGTAGTTAGCACTAGGAACACACAAATCAATACTCAACAGCCCGGGGAAGGATTTTGAAGTTGCACATAAAACAACACAAGGATGACTTTATATAAAGGCCTATAATTTTTTGTTTTGCTAAGAAACAGTCAGACTTTACACAACATACAGTGAGAGGGTGGTCTCCCAGCGTTTTAACAGGGCTGATCAACCCCACTCTGCTGTCTCTGGTTTGTCTAGATGGCTTGATCTCGTATAGACAATTTAAAGAGAAACCACAGACCAGCTGCTTGAACGCATCCTCCAGGTACTGAAATGCAGAGTGTGTTTGCCACACCAACACACTTCCTCACTGAACATCAGGTTGTTGCAATTCAGTCTGGAAATTTGGACAGTCCCACTTATACTATTTCATCTCATGATGTTTAGAGCTATGATTACTACATAAAACACATTATTTACCTTGTACAATAAAGGCACCACAGGTACTTGATCAAACAACAGCACATGGGGCTTGTTCTCTTCATACCAGCCATTCAGGAACTGGAGGTAATTTTTACCTGTTACCTACAAGCAGAGAGTCAAAAACATCAGCACCGAAGATGAAGATCTAGACATCATAGAAGGAGGCATACTACACATATATAAAACACAATTCTTAGAAAGAGGCTTTAAACAGGGAAACGTCATTTTCCGAGATGACACTACTGGTTGGAGCTTAGTGTTCTTCTTCTGTCAGCTGTAACCATAACTTCTACTTTTTGTTCCAAGATGTGCAACCAATCGGTCTAGAATCTGTATGCTCTTGCTGCACGTACCTTCTCTACCAGTCTCTGTGGCAACAAGTTCTCCACAAACTGCCTCAGATGCTCCCTGACCACGGCATAGTGGAAGAAGGTGACTTTCCCGTTGATGAGCCCCAAGATGGATGGGGTACGGTGTGCCCCCAAGTGGTTGGCCAGACGCTGCTCATAACCGACATCTACTACACCAATCCCCACACCTGCAGTAAGGAAGCAATGACCCCATGTGACCCACCAGCATGGCGATTATTTTAGATGTCAATGACTTTGGTTGGCCTCCCCCCCGATTCGGAGAGAGTCTTTATTATCCCCGGGGGGGGGGCAAGTTGTTTTACAGCAGCAGTGTTGACGTACAGATGGAGAGAAGGAAAAAACAAAACGACAGGAACGACAATATCCATACATATTGACATAGAAGGTCAAGTGTTAAGTAACGATATGGCTACAGGTATGAACAAGAACTTGAATCTGTTGGTTTTGGAATTGGGAGTCGGTATCTGCGTTCTGATGGGAGTAACAGGAAGTTATTAAACAAGGGGTGTGAAGGATTGTCACAGACAGATTTTGCTTTACACAAACCACGTGAATGATAGATGGAGGAGAGGGCTGGAAGATCAGCACCAACGACCTTCTGGCATATTTTCACCAGGCTGCCCAGTTTGTTCCTGCTTCTCAATTTCAGGTCGCCAAACCAGCAGATGAAATCAACAATGAATCATCGACCTTAAAGTACTTAAGCTTCCGTAGGGAAAAAAAGACGTTGTTGACCTTTACTGAGGATCAGGTCAGTATTGGCTTCGAAATTAAGCTTGGAGTCCAGGACAGTCCCCAAATACTTGTATTGTTCTACCAGCTCCCCTGAATCTCCCCCGATGTAGGTCAGGGTGGGAGTGGGGGTGCTTTTCCTGAAGTCAGTTATCATGTCTTTGGTCTTGGACACATTTAGCTTGAGGACGTTCTGTTCACACCAGGTGGCAAAC